GTTTGGGCCGAGCCTGGCCACCAGGCCTGGGAGGAAAGGATAGACACAGAGAGCAAGGAGACAAAGGAGTTTGAATCTGTGGACTGGTGAAGCCAGCAAAAGAAATTGGTCAGGTTTGGGCCGATCTGTCCGTTAGGCTTGGGGAGGGAGGGGAGTGACGGCTAGGGAATGTGGAAAGGCACGAAAATGAGGGTGCCTGGGTCCGGCAGATTTAAAAAACCAGCAGAGTTATGAGAAGGAAGAATATTCGTGAGAAATAAGTCAAGAATGGACGCCTGCGATAATCACAGTAAAATGAGCTAACCATGAATGAGGGCGTCTGTGTGCCTGTTCTGCGCCACACAGCCGCCAACTCCTCAATGCTCTCCGGTAGTACGGACGTGCACTTGTCACTCAGATGCCAGCAGTCCTGGCAGCAGGGGGAGAGGCGCGAAGAGCAGCAACAAAGGAAACCGTGAGAATGATAATGAGTGTGCCTGTCAGCACCACACAGCGCCAGCTGCTTGATGCAATTCGGTAGTATGCAGCAGTCCTGGCAACAGGGGAAGAGCATGAAAGCATAGGCTTTTGAGAGGCCTAAAAAAAAACAGTCTACTCTACATGGCTGGTACAATAGTTGAGACGTCTCAAAACACACTCTACATTACATGGCTGGTATGTTTTTGAGATGTCTCAACCACACTCTACGCTACATGGCTGGTGCGATTCTGGTAAAGTCTGAAAGGCAAGGGCTCGCTTGTATGCTGTTAATTGGCAAAAAACATAGCATTTGCTCACCAGCTCTAGTCGCTGCAAGGAGCACCGCCTCCCACCAGCCGTATTCCCTCTGACACCCTGGTCTCCCCACCACAATCCTGATTCTGACCCTCATCCTTTCCCCCATCCCTACGCCCTTCCTCCTTCTCCTCCCTCCCCTGCCCTCCCCCTCTTCCTCCCCCGCCCCTCTCTTTCCCATCCCCCCCTTGCCTTCCGCTCCTCCCCCACCCTCCTCGATCCCAGCACCCGCCCCCGCGCGACGCTCCTTAGCATCCCCAATCCCAGCAGCTCCCAGTCTGCTGCAGAGCGCAGTGAATGCAGCGTCATTCAGGCAGGGGCTTCCCGCCTTGAGGTCGAGAAACGTCAAGGCAGGGAGCAGGCTGGGAGACGAAAGGAGAGGATGTGGAAAAAGAGAAAGAGGGGAGAGAGGGAAAGAGCGCAGAAAATTCAGCATCGTTGAGACAGGGGCTCCCGTCCTTGAGATCGAGAAAGGGCAAGGTAGGGAGCAGACTGGAATGGAGGAGGGAAGGGAAAATGGAGGGAGGAAAGAGAGGAGCAGAACGCGGTGAATGCAGAGTCGTTGAAATAGGGTAGGGTAGGGCAGGGGAGGGAGCAGGCTGGGAGGGAGGGGAAAAGAGGGGAAAATAGGGAGGGGAGGCATGGATACTGAGACGCAGAAGACCCAGGGTAGGGAGCAGACTGGGTGCTACATGGAAAGTCAAATATCAGAGTGCTGTCAGATTTAGGTTGACGGGCTGATGGGGAAACGGAGCGAGAAAAGACACTTATAGCAAGCTCTGCTGGAGATTGAAGCGTTAAGGTGGACGGTTGACATGGCAAGTAGCATCCTGTTGCCAGCGTGGCACTTACCTTAGCTGGTGCCAGCATGGCATTCACCTCACATGTTGCCAGCCAGCGTGGCACTTATCTCACCTGTTGACAGCATGGCGCATGGGGGAGCATGACATGGCGGCATGCGCCCTGTCAGCCAATGGCAGATGGGCCAAAACACGAGGCAACAGCTGCAGAGAGGGGAGCCGTTGGATGGACAGAACAGCATGAAATCAAACGGCGTGGTATCATTCAAAAAGTGTTAAGAACGAGTCAGTGTCCACTTGAAGCTTAATCGGCCTAATCGGCCTGACAATCAAGATGCACAATAGACGTCGAATTCGCATACGGTAAGGTACATTTAATTCGAGTGAGCGCACAAAATGCTGTACCTCGAACGGCAAGCGACAGATGTCAGACGCGGATTCGGGTTCGTGAGCAGGCGTGACGTCATGGTGGAACGACGGGTTCGCCTCGGTATTGACGGCCTCAGTACTAGCCATTTTCGCGGATTCCACAGGCGTCTTACAGATTTTAATCTCGCAATCAAGGTCACATGTGAATCGACGCAATGGCAAGTGAGAATCTAACGAGCAACACTAAGAACCACTAATAACATGATGAAGGGCATACTGAATAGGTCCGTTAGCTTTACACCGGATTCGACAGAATAGCTAGGCTGCAAAAAGATGACAGAGAATTCATTCGGATAACGCACGCGTAATTCTTGTTCTACAAATAGGTATTCTGTGCGTGAAGGACGGCAATAATCTTCCCTCTCGAAATCACCGCCAAGCTTTCTGACAGGCGAAGTCGCAATGACTCGAAATTTGCTGCTCCTGTCATGATTCGTTATTGATGCACTCTCTAAACGTAACAGCTCTCCTGTAACTCGATATCAACAAAGGCAGATCTTACATCCTGGAGTATACGATCTGAATACAAAGTCCTCGAGAGCTGAAGACACACATAACAATAATGTATATAGGATGTCTAGACATTGGCGAAGAACAAAACCAGATAGCGTACCTCCATCCGGATTTAAGACAGGACTTGTAATCCATTTGAAGGGCTCAGCTTGGGAAGCTGCTGCCCGAAATTGAGAGTTGATTTCGGTAACTAGGACAATTCACTCAGTCTCTCAGCGAAACATCGGAGCACACAATAACGCTTCAAATCGCGATTCCGAAATCCAGCCTTCCGAAATCCAACTAAACCCTCAAAACCCTCCTCACTCCTTTTTTCACTGCGAGTCTACAAAACCATGAATATTGCTCTTATACCTAGCTCGTTCATAAACCCGTCATTTTACCTGCACAAGCCTTCGCGCCCCACATACTCTCTCCGTGATAATTCATCCTTTCGAGCTACCAATAAGGTCGTAGCCATGACTTCAGGTAATCAGCAAAGGCGCAAGAAGCGGCAGCAGCAGCAGAAACAGCCGGGGCAATCTGAGGCTGCGGAAGCGGCGCAATTGACGGGGGGAGAGGAGGCGGAGCAGCAGCCCGCGGCAGAGCCGATGGAAACTAGCGGGGCGGCGCATGAAGCGCAAGCGGGGACGGAAGCGCCGGAGAGCAGCGCGGGAGGCGGAGGAGCGTCGTCGGGGAATAAAGACCTGACGAGCGCCGATTATTACTTCGACTCGTACGCCCACTTCGGTACTTTCCCGCTTTCTATCATACCCTCTTCCTCTTCTTTTCGCCGCCTAGTTGTTCTCTCCTAGCGTCGCGAGCTCGTAATCTTGCAGCGCATTTGCCGTTCGCCCGCTTCGTGGATATAGATAATGGGGATGTAATTTTCCCACTCCATACGTTTCACGGTTCGGGAGTGCTTTCTGGCTTTCGAAACGACTAGGCGCGTCGAGAGAGGAGGCGGAGCTGAGGTGCCCTTCAGCGCAAGACCCGTTGGTGCTCTGTCCAAACCCCCGCTCATCCACGACCCACCTTTTTCATCCCTCTCCGTAATTTCCCTGCGCCGCGCAGGCATCCACGAGGAGATGCTGAAAGACGCGGTGCGCACTAAGACGTACGAGGCCGCGATCTGCGGCAGCACGTTTCTGTTCAAGGACAAGGTTGTCATGGACGTGGGTGCTGGCACGGGGATTTTGTCCCTCTTTGCTGCCAAGGCGGGAGCCAAGAAGGTGTACGCGGTAAGAGCCGTTATGCTGTAAGGAAATTCCTGTAGAGCGTTGTTAAAACATTTGGTGTCGAATATCCGATCTTAAACCCGTTCCATACGAATTAGGTGCTCAGAGACTGCCAAGTGTGAAGCCACGGATGCTGAAAAACGGTGTCAACATTTGACTTATGTGAAATGCCGTGCCATGCAGATGGAGTGCTCAGAGATTGCCGAGTGCGCGCGCGAAATCGTGGCAGCCAATCACATGGACCACAGTGAGTCAACTCGTTCTTTTGCGTTACAGGAGGCCCATGTCAGTCATCCAGGGTTCAGGGGTTGGGTTCTTGAGCCGTGAGACATTGAGACATCTCAAAAGTCACGGTTTAAGGGTTCAGGGTTTCGGGCCCCCCTACATTCGCCCAGCCCTTGTCTCTCTTCTCCCCCCCTTTCCCCCCCCCGCCCCCCATCTCCCCCCATTTTCCCCCTCTCGTAATAATGACGGGGATGGAATGGAAGGTCGAGGACGTGTACTTGCCAGAAGGGGAGAAGGTGTAGTCAGTACCCCTCCAGACCCCTTCACAACCCTCCGCACCCCCCTCTGCCTCTCTCGCAACGCCCGCCCCTCCCTCCTTTCGCAGTTATCACGGTGATCAAGGGGAAGGTGGAGGACGTAGAGTTGCCAGAAGGGGAGAAGGTGGATGTGATTATATCGGAGTGGATGGGCTACTTCCTCCTCTACGAGTCCATGCTCGATACTGTGCTGTTCGCCAGAGACAAATGGCTGGTGAGTGTAACCTGGTTACCACATGGGAGCGGATGCGCTACTTACTGCTCTATGAACCTATGCTTAATACTGTGCTCTTCACCAGAGGCAAGTGGCTGGAACGTAATAGCTGTATTATTATACAGGAGGTCGTGGGTTCGATTCTTAAGGTTGGCATTTATCAGTCGTGTCAGAGTGGATGGCTACTTTCTGCTGTACAAATCCTTGCTCGACACAGTGCTGTTCGCCGGAGGGAAACAAGTGCTGGCGAGTGTGGGGCGTATTAGGATAACCACATTACCATATGCACTGGTTCGATGTACTGTACCGTTGCCGCATGCTGTGGTGCTCATTATGCATATCCCATGCATCCCTGTGCACTCTGTCTCATGTGCTCTGTGCTGCTTGCATGTGTGAGGCGGATGGAGGCATAGTGCTACCAGACCACTGCTCGCTGTACCTGGTGCTGTGCCGTTTCTCATCCCCTTACATCCCCTTATATCCCACTCCCACCTTGTTTCTCCTGTGCGTGCATGTATGCAGGCAAACGGCGGCATAGTGCTGCCAGACCACTGCTCGCTGTACCTGATGGCGATAGAGGATGCAGAGTACAAGCAGGAGAAGATTCACTGTGAGTGGAGAAAAGGGAGGATGGGGGGGAGGGGCGGTTAGAGAGGGGAACCACTGGCCGTGTTTTGGCTGCTCCCCATCGTGCTGTACCTGATGGCCATAGAGGATGCGGAGTACAAGCAGGAGAAGATCCACTGTGAGTGCACGAGAGGGAGAAGGTGGGGGTACGTCTCTGTGAGTGCTCTCCCTTATGTCGAACCTGGTTGCCATAGAGGATGCGGAGTACAAGCAGGAGAAGATCCACTGTGAGTGCACGAGAGGGAGAAGGTGGGGGTACGTCTCTGTGAGTGCTCTCCCTTATGTCGAACCTGGTTGCCATAAAGGATGCAGAGTACAATCAGGAGAAGATCCACTGTGAGTGCACGAGAGGGAGAAGATGGGGGTACGTCTCTGTGAGTGCTCTCCCTTATGTCGAACCTGGTTGCCATAGAGGATGCGGAGTACAAGCAGGAGAAGATCCACTGTGAGTGCACGAGAGGGAGAAGGTGGGGGTACGTCTCTGTGAGTGCTCTCCCTTATGTCGAACCTGGTTGCCATAGAGGATGCGGAGTACAAGCAGGAGAAGATCCACTGTGAGTGCACGAGAGGGAGAAGGTGGGGGTACGTCTCTGTGAGTGCTCTCCCTTATGTCGAACCTGGTTGCCATAGAGGATGCGGAGTACAAGCAGGAGAAGATCCACTGTGAGTGCACGAGAGGGAGAAGGTGGGGGTACGTCTCTGTGAGTGCTCTCCCTTATGTCGAACCTGGTTGCCATACAGGATGCGGAGTACAAGCAGGAGAAGATCCACTGTGAGTGCACGAGAGGGAGAAGGTGAGGGTACGTCTCTGTGAGTGCTCTCCCTTATGTCGAACCTGGTTGCCATAGAGGATGCAGAGTACAAGCAGGAGAAGATCCACTGTGAGTGCACGAGAGGGAGAAGGTGGGGGTACGTCTCTGTGAGTGCTCTCCCTTATGTCGAACCTGGTTGCCATAGAGGATGCGGAGTACAAGCAGGAGAAGATCCACTGTGAGTGCACGAGAGGGAGAAGGTGGGGGTACGTCTCTGTGAGTGCTCTCCCTTATGTCGAACCTGGTTGCCATAGAGGATGCGGAGTACAAGCAGGAGAAGATCCACTGTGAGTGCACGAGAGGGAGAAGGTGGGGGTACGTCTCTGTGAGTGCTCTCCCTTATGTCGAACCTGGTTGCCATAGAGGATGCGGAGTACAAGCAGGAGAAGATCCACTGTGAGTGCACGAGAGGGAGAAGGTGGGGGTACGTCTCTGTGAGTGCTCTCCCTTATGTCGAACCTGGTTGCCATAGAGGATGCGGAGTACAAGCAGGAGAAGATCCACTGTGAGTGCACGAGAGGGAGAAGGTGGGGGTACGTCTCTGTGAGTGCTCTCCCTTATGTCGAACCTGGTTGCCATAGAGGATGCGGAGTACAAGCAGGAGAAGATCCACTGTGAGTGCACGAGAGGGAGAAGGTGGGGGTACGTCTCTGTGAGTGCTCTCCCTTATGTCGAACCTGGTTGCCATAGAGGATGCGGAGTACAAGCAGGAGAAGATCCACTGTGAGTGCACGAGAGGAAGGAGGGGGGAAGTAGGGAGCCACTGGCCGTGTGCTACCTTCTTGGATGCAGAATACAAGCAGGAGAAGATCCACTGTGAGTGCACGAGAGGGAGAAGGTGGGGGTACGTCTCTGTGAGTGCTCTCCCTTATGTCGAACGTGGTTGCCATAAAGGATGCGGAGTACAAGCAGGAGAAGATCCACTGTGAGTGCACGAGAGGGAGAAGGTGGGGGTACGTCTCTGTGAGTGCTCTCCCTTATGTCGAACCTGGTTGCCATAGAGGATGCGGAGTACAAGCAGGAGAAGATCCACTGTGAGTGCACGAGAGGAAGGAGGGGGGAAGTAGGGAGCCACTGGCCGTGTGCTACCTTCTTGGATGCAGAATACAAGCAGGAGAAGGTTCACTGTGAGTCTGTGCCTTTTCTTTCTCCTGTTTACCCACGTGTGTGTGTGCTATTCTTTCTTCCCATTTCCCCACTCCCCAGTCTGGCAGTCAGTGTATGGGTTTGACATGAGCTGCATTTGAGACGAGACTATAGTTGCCCATGGATGGAGGGTAGATTATGAGAGCCTTCCCTCACTGTATGTGTGTGTCCCTCCTCCCCCCCCCCCCCCCTTCTCTCCTTGCACTGCAGTCTGGCAGTCAGTGTACGGGTTTGACATGAGCTGCATTCGAGACAAGGCCATGTTGGAGCCTCTGGTCGACACCGTAGACGCAGAGCAGATCGTCACCAACTCTTGCCTCGTCAAGGTGAGGAAAGAAGGACCCTCATGCACCCCTTAGGACCCACGCGCACCACTCCCTCTCTCTTCTCGTTCACTCATCCGAGACAAGGCCATGCTGGAGCCTCTAGTCCACACCGTTGATGCAGAGCAGATCGACACCAACTCTTGTCTTGTCAAGGTGAGAGGACTACATTACCACTCCTCTCAAAGCTCTAAACCCTGAGCCCTGGAATGACTTCATTCGCATCCTCCCTCCGTCCGTTCTTGATAAACTGCTCCTCTGTCCCCTTTTTTCTCTCCCCCCCTTTGCCGTTTCACCAGTCGCTCGACATCAGCAAGGTGACGAGGGGCGACCTCTCCTTCTCGGTGCCGTTCAAGCTCGTGGCGGAGAGGAACGACTTCGTGCATGCGCTCGTGGCCTATTTTGACGTTGGCTTCACCAAGTGTCACAAGCCCATCGGTTTCTCCACAGGTACCAGTAGTAACTGCAGGAACCGCCATTGTCATAGCATGGGGCATACACACTTGCTCATTGAGTGGCGGAGAGAAATTACTTTGTGCATGCTCTTGTGGCCTATTTTGACGTCGGCTTCACCAAGTGCCACAAGCCCATTGGCTTCTCAACAGGTGAGCATGCATGAGCCACATCAAACTACTGGCTTTGGAGTTTTGATAAGTGTCTTATTCACTGTATATCTGGTTCAATTGCCCCATTCCCCACCTGTCCTCTCCCCTACCTGTCCTCTCCCATTCTCCCACCTTCCTCTTAGGCCATTGTTTTCATCCCTGCCTCACTTTTCTTTACTCTATGCTCGAGATTTCCAATTTATACACTGTCTGACAAACTCAAGCGTTTGGCTGATGCTCCGATCGTTTCCTCAGGGCCCAAGAGCCGGGGCACGCATTGGAAGCAAACGGTGCTATATCTGGAAGATACCCTAACCATGTGTGAAGGGGAAGCGGTTACCGGAACCATGCAAGTGAAGCCGAACGAGAAGAACCCCCGCGATCTAGACATATCCGTGACTTACAAATTTGATGGTCGTCGAGGGAAGGCATCACGCACACAGCACTACCGCATGCGGTGATGTGGGTAGTGCTTGCACTCGGGATGTGTTGTTGAAGTGCTTATTTGTTAGTTTTTTTTTTTAATGCAGAATGTTGTATTTCATCCATGCTTATGATCAATTTTGATGTTCAATAATATGGAACGTTTTCTGGTTTCTGAGCTGCTCTAGAAGAATAAAATAGGGTGCTTTTATCTCATAACATAATCGCGTGAGCGAAGTTCGAGTCATAATTTGCGAAGGCTGCCTGGTTGAGATGTTTTAACACAGAGCGGTTGGTTTATATCCTAGGACGATTGGGTAGGGTTTTGAGCATGAATTTGAATCACCCCTATGCACATTTTCTCGTTCCATCTGCTTCTGGACCTTGGGATTGCCATTGCCGGAATCCACTAGGGCGATGTTCGGCAGCACAGGGGATCCACCGAGGGATCGAGAGGGGGATCTAAATTCTCAGCTAGGGTTTCTAGTTCGGGGTGGTCAACTCGGAGTCTACCAGCGTTGACTCCAAGTCTGGGATCCAGGCGCAAGCGGAATCTTTGGGGGAAAAGGCGCGGATGAGCGACGCGGGAATTGGGGGCCCACGAAACTGCAGCCGCACGAAACGAAACTTCGCGAGCTGAACAGTTTTTCTTCTCCCTGCCTCATTTTACTGCTGCGATGGGATTGGGTATATCACTTCCTGAAAACATTTAACACCAGAAAATAAAATGGATGTCTTAAATGTCGTACTCACCCATTTGACCTTATTAAATACAACTGTTTTACAATACATTTCCGATGTCCGGTTTACCCGTCAGTTTAGAGTGTGGGGGACAATAATAAAACAATTTCGTAGTTGAGGGGATCCATTTTGTATCCCCCGCGGCGGAGGCCTTTCACGGGAGTGCAATTTGGATTCCCTGGGCACTAGGGCGGATTTTTTCCGCCATGGGGGAGGTTTTGGGGGAGGATGCGGCGCGGGTTACCACCTAGCGTGGTGTTCGCGTCGCGTTTTAGACTTACGTTCGACATTTTTTTCACATTTTTCTAGCCTGACCGAAGTGTTTTGCCTGGTTCGTACTGGTCGAGCCTGGAGGCTCGCCATTTTGTTCCTCCATCAAACCCCCTCCGCTGGCTGCCGAACAACGCCTAGGCTTTGGTTCATCCAGCTTGGAAGCACCATCGACTGAAACTGACTAAGGGTGCCCGATCGGTGTGCCCGATCGGTTTTTCACAGCGATCGCGCGATCGATCGAGGGACATGACAGGCGACACCAATCGCGTGTCGCTCTTCAGAGCGATTACCCTTTTGAGGAGTCTTTCCTCGTGCCGTTCCCGTTCTAGCTCAGTGCCCCTCTAACGGTTCAAGGTCTCGTGCTGAGCATCTCCTTTCTTTCCTTGGGGAATCGTTCGATAATCCTTACAAAATCCTCTGAGAACCTTACAGGATTTGAAAAATGATTTCTTATTGTCCAAAGTGTATTCCAATGCGCATTGGCGCCTGTTCCGCTCGTGCTGCTCCGGATCCGAGCCGCGCTTTACTGATCAGTTGCCAGAATCGAATCGTCGATCCGAACCCGAGGCTTCCTGGGATTCTGACTCCCAAACCGTACCTCGGCTTGAAACGCGGATGCAGTGTAGCACATCGCGGGCTGAATATACCGCACAGATACCTCGGCGTACAAAGTGTTCGAACCAGATACAGCTTGCAGCGTTGGGATAATAATGCTGCGGAAGCAGGAGGCTTCTTGGAGAAAAACGAGGCTTACGGTAACGGGGATGGGAATAAGAGGGAAGCTTCGAGAATTGCGGTCAGCATTAAGGCTCAGGAGAGAGAGAATGCTCTTGAGGCGCCTCGGGGATTGGATAAAGAGGAGAGGCGACTCGGAAGGACAGGGTGGACGAGGAGAGATGGTAGGAGTAAGAGTTGGAGTAACGGTAGGAGATTAGGGAACGGCATAGTTAGACAATTATGGAGACGAGGAGAAAATTCGCGCGTTCCCAAGAGAGAGGAGGAAACGCTTAGAATATGGAGTAACCAGAGGAGGAAGGACAGGAATTTCGGGAAATTTAAGGGTATGTTTGACGGGAGTGGAGGGATTGTGGTCGTGACTGATAGCGAAGCAGACAGCTTGTCAGTGTCACGCGAGGATGCTAATTCTCCTTTTGTACTTGTTAGTAGCAAAGCGGGTTATCATCCAGACGGCGACTCGCCAACTGGATTAGCCAAATGGCATGAGCAGGATCCAGCGAAGCAAGAGCAGAATCCAGCTAAGCAGATTCATATTCCAGCAAGTCAGAGTAAATTACCAGCTAAGCAGAGTCAGAACCCAGCAAGGCAGAAGCTGCTGTACCTGGAAAGGTGTGGGAGAGAGGGGAGAGCAGCCGAGGCACTGATGATGCTGGGAGTGATGGAAGGGGAGGATGGTGGGGTGAAGGAGGAAGAGAAGGCTCAGGAGAGAGAAGAGGGCGAGGAGGTAGAGGAGGAGAAAGAGGAAGAGGAAGAGGGAGAGGGGGAGTGGGAAGAGGAGGGTTACAGAGCAAGAGGGCATGGGGCATTGGGTGATGATAAAAGAGGAGGTGAAAGAGGGGGAGGTGTTGACAGGGGTTGGTTAAATGCAGCAGCCTTTTGTCATGCCACGCGTGCACTGCTTAATGCTGATTGGCCTCTGGTCGCATCCAGACGTGCTGACGTGGACATTGAGTCGTCGCCAGCTGGCAACCGTCGTTTGTCACCTTCTGTGCCTACTTTGGGACGAGTGTCAGATGCTGCGTCAGCGCTCGCCGCCCGGATGGCAGCAGTCGGAGTCACACCCAACCGGCAGTTTTGTCTGCTTCTGGTGGAGGCTTATCTGAGGGACGGGAGGGTGGAAGAAGCGGAGGAGGCGTGTGAGAGAGTGAGGGAGGAGGGGTGGAAGGTTCCTGGGAAGGTTCTGAGATGGATCGTGCGGGCTTGGGCTAGAGAGGGGAGAGCAGGGGAGGCAGAAGAGGGAGTGAGGGAGATGGTGAAGGAAGGGGTCCAATTGGACGTTGCCACGTGTAACAGCATGATTGGGTTATATGCTCGTGTGGGGGCGTATGACAAGGCAGGGAGAGTGTGGGAGTGGATGGAGGAGAATGGTGGAGAAGAGGAGGAGGAAACGGAAGGGGAGTGGGGAGAGAGCGGAGGGGAGTGGGAAGAGAAGGGAGGAGGGGAAGGGGGGAGGAAGAGGAGGAAAGGGAATGATTGCACCCCAACCGAAGCAACTTATCGTGCTCTCATTCGCATGTGAGCCTGGGACTCAGCGTGCGAACGCATGTTATGAAGATGTGTCTCGGTGTTCCCTCACACGGTCACCTTTTACACCTCCCAGCCTTGGTGCCTCTGTTAAAAAGCTGCAGTGCTGTGCTTGTTTGTCTGTGCCGTCTAAGCATTGTAGGGTCGTAGCTAAAGGCAGATGCACTGTCACCCTCGTGCTGCGTGCCATGAGTGCACGTTGTACGTTCTAATCACATACTTGTTGACCCATCCTATGTGTACCACCCACCTAGGTACACCCATGCAGGCATGCATGCCCAACGACACATCCACGTGCTGCATGCCATGAGCGCTTTTTGTACCCCATGCTTCACATACTTGGTTAACACCCCACTACACCACACCACACCACACCACACCACACCACACCAGGTACACCCATGCGTGCATGTCCAACGAGGCCATTCACATGCTGCATGTCATGCCATGAGCGCGCATGCCATGCTGTGACATGGCATGCCTCATGCCTCTTGCCTCATTTTCCCATTCGTCACCCCATGCAACACCTCATGTATTAACCCATCTTTACCACAGGTACACCCATGCGGGCATGCCCAACGAAGCCATTCACGTGCTGCATGCCATGAGCGCCCGCGGTCTCCCATGGAGGGATGGCCTGCTGGCATCTGTCATTCGCTGCCTTGCTGCTGCTGGCAGGTGGAGAGAAGCTGAAGGTGAGTCACTGTGGTTCTTCTCGTTTCTCTTTGTGCCTGTCCGCTCTCCCTCCACGTTTTTCTACCTTATCCCCTCCTCTCTCTCCCTCCCTGCTTCCAGCCCTATTTCATGAAGCTCAACTTTCGCCCCAAGTGCTATTTTTAATCTGCGCATGCACAATCTAACCCTCCCTTCTCGACCCCTTTCTCTCCCCCTCCCCTTTCCAGACCTATTTCACAGAGCACAGCACATGGTCCAAGCCCGTGCAAACGAGGCTTTCGTCGGACTAGCACCGCAGGCTCGGCCTGAACTTGCGGTCTGGAGGAATATTCAACTCGGGCCTGCAGCTTTGGAAACGAGCCTGCTGTCTGGTGCAGCTTCGGGAATAAAGGAGCCACAGGCGGCTGAGAGGGAGAAGCAGGGGGGAGATGGTGACCAGGGAGGTGGCATGGTGAGAGAGAAGCAGAGAGGAGGCGTATTTGAGCAGAAGGAGTTGGTAGGGGAGCAGATGGGAGTGGTGGGCGCGCAAGAGCAGTTGTTGGGGGAACAGTCGTACAAGGCACTGATGAGTGCCTACCAAAGGGCAGGGCAGGCCGAGAAGGCTGAGGAGCTGCTGCTGGCGATGGAGAAACGAGGTGAGATGAGGAGAGAGAGAGAGAGGTGCGAGGAGGCGAAAGTGGAGAATAGAGGTGAGAGGAAGAGAGGTGAGAGGAGAGAAGTCAGGGAAAGAGAAAGAGGAGAAGAGGAGAAGAGGAGAGGTGAAAGGAGGGAGGGCCAACCGTCCCTTGCTCTTCTCTTCTCCCGCTCTATATGTAGCTCCTCTCTCCTCCTTTCCTTCTATCCCAGCCTTTAACCCCTGACCCTAAACCCTAAATCACATGGTCATGGACGGACTCACATCTCTTGGATATTTGGGCCCAGAGATGTGCCAGCCACAAGGTTGGGCCCAGATGGCCAACCTTTCCTTCCTCTCCTCTCCTCTCTTCCTCCTCTCGTTTCTCTTTCTTCCCGCACCACCCCTCCTCGGCCTCTTTGTTCCAGGCAGCCCCTTGACAGCGGACCTGTATCATATGGTCATGGACGCTCATGGCAGGGCGAACGCGGACTAACCTTCCCTTCCTCCCCTCTCCTCCCCGCCATTATTGTTGCTCTCTCTCCTCCTTTCTTGCTATCCCAGGCATCCCCTTGACAGCGGACCTGTATCATATGGTCATGGACGCTCATGGCAGGGCAGGCAACACAGCAGCTGCAGAGGGTATTTTGGAGCGACAGCTCAACCACCACAGGCAACCACCTGCCGAATCACCTGCCGAATCACCTGCCAAATCACCTGCCGAATCACCTGCCGAATCACCTGCCGAGGCATTTGCCGAACCATCTGACGCACCAACTGCTGAGCCACCTGCCATACCTCCCTTCTCAGCATCATCTCCAGCAGCAATTGGCTTGAGATTAGGTGACAATGTACCCTCAGAGTCAGACGCCACGTCAACCACAATTGCCACGTCAGCAGCATCAGCAGCCACCACACCGTTCGCGCCGCCCAGGCCAGACATCGTCCAGCTCACCTCCCTCGTGCATGCATACCTGCGGGAGGGAAACTACCAGGAAGCAGCAGTGCGGGTGCGGCAGATGCGGGAGCTGGGGCTGATCCCCACCTACAAGACGTGGGCCACGGTGGTGAGCGGTGCTGCGCGGTGCAGAGATCTATCAGACTGCTGCGCTCTGCTTGAAGCTCTGTCTCACGTGGGGTTTGATGTTCCTGAGAGGTGAGCTTGGGCTGATCCCTACTCACAATGCATGGGCCACGGTGGTAGGAGGAGGGGCGGCTGGAAGCCGCTGCTTTCTGCTAGAAGCTCCTTCTTACGTTGGGTTTGATGTTCCTGAGAGGTGAACGTCTGGGGGAGAGGGGTGAGGAATGGTGGAGAGAGGTGAGTGATTGAGAGACGGGATAAGCAGGGACTGGTCCCTGCCAACAGGTCGTGGGCCACTGTGGTGGGAGGTGTTGCCAGGATTCGGATTCATCAGAATGCTGGGCGAGCATTTCTCCTTTGTGTAATTGGATTCCCTTTCCTCACTTACCTCTCCTCTCCTCTCCTCTCCTCCCTTCTCCTCGACTCTCCTCCTTTGCCCTTCCCCACAGAGTACTCCTCCAATGTGACGACGACACCTGGACGGACATTGACAGTCTGCTGACGTGGCTGCTGGCAAGGGATGCCAGCTGGACCACAGAAGAAAGCAAGGCGAATGGGAATGAAGCAAGGAATGTGGCAGGGGGGGTTACATTGAGCACCACGGTGAACGAGGGAAGTGCAGTCACGGGTACAGAGGGAAGGGTGGCAGAGGGGAATGCAATGAAGAGCAGCACAACCACGGAGGGCAGTGCAGCGAGGAGCACAGTCAACGTGCTAATAGACCTGCTGTGGTGCTTCGGTCAGCGAGCCAGGGCCCACCGCCTCTTCCTCCTCTCAACCCACCGCAGAGCGTATCCGCGATTCATCGCTCGGTGGGTGCTGTGCGGTTGGGTGGCGTGTAATTCGGTGATGTGTGCGGTTCTATGGTGTCTGGTTGTGTGCCCTCTGGTTCTTCTACAGAGTCAACCGTTATGTGGTGTACCTGTGAGCGTGTTTCGCAGCAGAATAGCTGGTACAGTTGGTGTTCCATCCTTCAACCAGTGCCTTTCTGCAAACCTCCGCCCCCTCACCAGGGCCGCAGCCAACGACTGGAAGCTGGGTGTGTGCGTGCTCTCCCACCCGCCCACCCGCTCCTTGTCACCCAATGAACATTCTCTCTGCCCTCCGCCTGCCTCTTCTTTTCCGCAACAACTCCTGCCTGCACCTGAAGACTGGAAGCTGGATGTGTGCACGCACTCCCCCGGTGTAATGAGGTGACAATTGAGTCGACTCAAAAGTCTTCTCCCCTGTCCTCCTGCCCTCTGTCATTCCTTTGCCGATTCCGCCTCCCACCAGGGCTGCGCCAGAGGACTGGAAGCTGGACGTTCGCACGCTCTCCCCTGGAGCTGCCCTCGTTGCTCTACACCACTGGCTCGACATGGTGCAGGTCAGTCACCCTCCTCTCCCTCTTGGTCGCCTTTCATTTTCTCTGCCTCTCGTTCCACCTCTTTCTCTCTTCCTCCACCCCTGTCTCTCTCCTGGAGCTGCCCTCGTTGCTCTGCACTACTGGCTCGACATGGTGCAGGTCTGTCGTGTCACCTCCTCTCTCCAGGTGTTTTTTTGAGTGAGTGAACTCATGATGCACCTTTCCTTTCTCCTTGCTCGTTCTTTCTTTTTGTCACTCTCTATCTCTTCTCCCCTCTCTCTCCCCTCGTGCGGCCTCGTTGCTCCCCATCACTGACTCGACATGGTGCAGGTCAGTCAACTCGTTACCACCCTACTTGGCAATCCCATGCCATGCCATGCCATGCCCTAAGGTGTCACTCCGTCCCTTCCATCCCCCTTGTCATCTCGACTATGCCCTTGCATCCCCACCATCGTCTCACATCCCATCATCCATCCATTGCAACAGGACGCAGCTCTCCAGGGCGTTCCAGCACCCCGCCACGTCAGCATCGTGACAGGTGGCATGCTCCAGCGCACCATCAACGGCGGCGGCGGCGGCGGCGGCATGCCAGGTGGCAGCGTGTCATTGAAGCGCACCGTGCGCAGCTGGCTGTGGGCCATGGGGGCTCCGTTCAGAGCTGACGAGGACAGGGAGGGCGTGCTGACAGCTAGAGGCTATTCTGTGGAGAGATGGGTCAAGGTGAGTCAACAGGGGTCAACGGGGGTTTGTTCCGGTGATGAAATCTGAGGCACCTGAAGCGCACTGTGCGCAGCTGGCCGCGGGCCATGGGGGCTCCGTTTCGAGTTGACGAGGAGAGAGAGGGTGTGCTGGCAGCAAGAGGGTACTCCGTTGAGAGATGGGTCAAGGTGAGTCAACGCAGGTCAAGGTGTGTCAACCGAGGTCTTGGTTTGTGCTGACCATTATGTCAGTGAATGTGAGTGAGTCACATAAAAGTAATCTCCGCAGTCCCTTGACACATTCCTCGTGTTTACCCTCCCCATTTCCATACAGGACGCTCCAAGTTGTCAAGATCTATCCTTGGAAGACTCACCACATCCTACACCAACCAATACTATGTGCATATATGAAAACGCTCTTATGCGCACAGACGTTGCGGCACTGTTACAAGAACTAGACGAGCATGGGTTGTTGGACGGGAAGAAGGGACCTCCAAGGGTGATGTCACGGCTGCTACGGATTAAAGAGGAGAAGAAGGACCAGTGGATAAAGATGCAAGCGGTGCTTACAGAGACTAGGGCACAACGGGCCGCCAAGGCTAGGAAGAAACGTGATAGAAACAGGGAGCTGAGGAAGGCTCGTAAACCAAAAAGGTGATGTACTTTAATACTTGGTTTTGCAAATGGAAACGCTTGTAGTGCAATTTTGTACGTCGTAATAGTATTTCCGCAATGAACACGCTTCTTGTAATTCTCTCGAATTGCAACAGTCGCGGATTACTTGTCCATGCAAACCATCCATAAATCAGCATGCAAATCCTCCCGTTGAGGGTTTCCAACAAAACGCATCACTTCTTTCACGTTCGCTCTCACGTCTCTCTCTTCCTACCTCACATCGGCAGTGTCACTGTTCAAGCTTCTCTTGGAACTTTTGCCTTCAGCCCATCGATTAGTAGGTTTATCATAACTTTTATTCACTAGAGCGTGATACTTTCAGCTCGTCACCATGCCGGCCACGGCGGGCCGCGTTCGCATGCCAGCGAACAACAGGGTGCACAGTAGCGCAGCCCTGCAAACGCACGGCATCTGGCAGAGCGCCATCGGGTACGATCCGTACGCTCCTGACGAGAAGAAAGCAGCCGACGGCGAGGATAACGCGTACGACAGTTTCCAAGGACTGCTGCAGCTCGCGAAATTGACGGGATCTGGAGCCGACACGTCTCGCGGTTCGTGCAAGAAGTGCCATCGTGTCGGCCATTTGACGTTTCAGTGCCGGAATTTTCTGACGGCCAAGGAGGACGTTAACGTTCCGGCGGAGCTTGCTGGAGGGTTGGCCGGCCAGAAACGGCCGGGGATGGAATTCGCGGAAGAGGAGAGTGACGTGTCGCTTAGCGATGATGACGGTGACGGGGATTTGGCTGAAGCGGCGCGTTCTCGTGGTTTGATACCCTCGAAAGCCGGGGATGGCGCTTCGGAGAAGGAGAAGAAAGGAAACGATTTGAAAAAGAAAGACAAGAAGAAAAAGAAGCACAAGAAAAAGAGCAGCAGTAAGAGGAAGAGAAGAAAGTCTGACAGTTCAGACGACGATGATTCGTTATCCGACGATTCGTTATCGGATAGTGACGACGACGATTCCTCGTCTTCTGACGACGACAGGCGGAGGAGGCGGAGGAAAGGCAAGAAGGAGCGGAAGCGGAGCAGCAAGAGCAAGAAGTCATCGTCACGCAAGCACAGGAGGCGGAGAGACGAGACTGAGAGTGAGAGTGAGGAGAGTAGTGGGAGTGAGAGTGAGGAGGTGTCTGATGACAGTGATAGCAGCGGTGGGGCGAGGAGGAAGAGGAAACGGAAGGATAAAGAGGGGAAGAAGAAGCGGAGAGACAGGGACTGAGTTTTGAGACAGTCTAAAAACTTGGAAGTAGTGGGGGTGAGAGTGAGGAGAGTGGTGGGAGTGAGAGTGAGGAGAGTGGTGGGAGTGAGCGTGAGGAGAATAGTGGGACTGAGTGAGGAGGTGTCTGATTCAGCAGCGGTGGGTCGAGGAGGAAGAGGAAGCAGAAGGATAAGGAAGGAAGAAGAAGCGGAGAGACAGGGACTGAGGTTTGACTTCACTGTTGTTTGGCACTAACCAATGTTTTTCAAGTTATCATTTCTGCTGGTTTTCTTGCCCTATTCATGCAGTCATTGAAGCTTGTCAAAATAGATGCGAGAAAGTTTGTTTCAGTACAGCCTTAATGAGAGGATATTTGTTCACATATGGTTACATACAATATTAGGTGCAGAGAAGCCGATAACATGGACATTATGCCCTTGTTCGGCGCTGCTATGTCTGCGGCATTGCCCTGCTTAGAGTGGCACAGCAATCTCTCACACACACTACCCCTACTGCGATGATTTGCAGTCTATCGACTCCTGCGGTTACGGAATACAGTGCAAGCTACTTATTTCAGGAAACCACAGCTCTGCCCATTATTACCGCATACCCACCGACCACACTCATTGCAGCCACAGCTCACCCTATGCAACTCCCCTCACTGCGCTGGTCCCAGATTGATGTGTAAGCTTAGGGGAGCACTGCTTCGCACCTTCCCTTCTGCTCCACACAGAAGGAGCCTTTCCTCCTGCAACCTCATAGAAGCCTGATCGTCACCCTTGACGCCTCCGAAGCCTCAGATGCAAAAACCCTACTCTCCTTCTCCCAGTCCGGTGCCGAACCCCAGGGAACATACGGCCCTCCACAGGAGCATTTACCAATCTGGGATCTACCGAACCTCCCAGCTCCACAGGTTCAGGCTCGGGTGTTTCGCCAACAGGGAGGACTGTCAGCTCGCTGCCGAACCTGGCCGTGCTGCTGGTAACATTGTTACAACAAGCTCCGGTAGACAGCTCATCTTCTTGTGCCAGAGCCGCCATGTCATCTGATTCAAAAGGAGCTTCAGAGAGCACAGAGCGCAACTTAAAGCCCCCCGGGCTGCCAGGCTCTCGGGGTTTGAAGCTGGAAGCGGGGGGGGATGGGGTGGGCGAGGTTTTGGGTTTGGGTGGAGGGTCGGGGACAGGCTTGGGGCTGGGCTTGGGACTAGGCTTGGGAGCAGGCTTGGGGCTCGGCTTGGGACTGGGCTTGGGAGCAGGCTTGGGACTAGGCTTGGGAACAGGTTTGGGGCTCGGCTTGGGACTAGGCTTGGTACTCGGGTTGGGGCTAGGCGTGGGGCTCGGTTCGGGGCTAGGTTTCGGAACAGGTTTGGGGCTAGGCTTGGGGCTAGGCTTGGGGCTAGGCTTGGGGCTAGGCTTGGGGGGAGGTGCAGGAGCGTAGAGGCCGTCAGGAGTGGGGTTGATGAGGGGCTCCCGGCGAAGCATCTCGTAGAAGAGGTCGACCCACACGTCCGGCACCCCAGGCTGGCACCAGTGCAGACAATCGGATCCCTTCTTCTGGCAGGGAAAGGGGTTTGGGTTTTACAATGAAAGGAAAGCATGGGAAGGAAAAGAAGGGAGGGTGGGTGTCAGGAGTGGGGTTGATCACTATGGATGCATACAGTGTTCTATCCACATGCATGCTCACACCCCCCTTTTACGGCCTCAAACCACTCACCCCGCCCATGAATCCTCCAATGTGTGCCTCGGGTCGGAAGACGCTCATAGTGGTGATGTCCATGCGGCGAACACACACAAGGCACACATGAGCTCACATGAGCTGAGCTTACATGAGCCTACATGAGCTACCCCCCCACAACATGCGGTGTGGCCTCGGGACACTCACCCCGCCCATAAAACCGCCAATGTGAGCCTCGGGCCGGAAGGCGCTCATAGTGGTGATGTCCATGCGGCGAACGCCCGAGTCTGGAGGGAAGACCTTCTTTTGGATGGGCAGGAACAGCTTCATCTGCACGTTGGTGCGCTGTAGCTTGCCCATCTGTTGGGATTGGGTGGGGATTGGGTGGGGGGAAGAGGGGGGAATGGGAAGGGTAGTGGATGCGAGGACAGGGAAGGCTTGCCTCTGGATGGGCAGAAAGAGCTTCATCTGCACGTTGGTGCGCTGTAGCTTGCCCATTTGTTAGGGATGGGCGGGTAGTGGAGTGGACGGAATGGGGAAGGGAGAGGGGATGGAAAATGCAATGTAGGCTTGCTTTGGATGGGCAGGATTAGCTTCATTCATGGCAGCTTCCTGGTCACGTGCACGTTGATAATTTTAATAGTAATGATAATAGAGGTGGTAGTATTAATCACAATAATAGTATAGTATCACTAATAATAATAGTAGTAATAGTATTTATAACAGTATTACTGATAATAATAACAACAGCAACAATAAAATATTAATAATAATCTAATAGTATAGTAATAACCAAAACATTCTCAGGGAAGACTGGCACACTACCGAACCCCGAACCGAAGCTACCTTTTATGCCTCACCTCCTGCGCTGCGCGTTTCAGCCTCACCTCGTTCGCATTCAGCAGCCTTGCAGGTGACCCACACACGCCGTTGCTGCAAACCTTCTTGGCCGCGTGTAGCAAGTGTCTCAAAGCTACACTACGTGCTGCGAGGAGGCACTCACCTCTTTCGCGTTCAGCATCCGGCCAGGTGACCCGCACACGCCGTTCCCGCCAACCTTCTTGGCGTTGTGCTGCGGGGGAGCCGTCATGAAGAACGGAACAGGCAGCACTTTCCCCAGCTTCTTGCGATTGCTGAAGTGCGTGCGAACGCTCGTCAGGGCTTGGCTGAGAATGGGCGGTCGAGGGAGGGGAGGAAATGCAGTGGGGGGAGTGGGTGTGTGCATGCATAGGGTACAGAAGCAGAGGCAGAAGCAAAGGCAGAGGCAGAGGCAGAGGCAGAGGCAGAGGCAGAGGCAGAGGCAGAGGCAGAGGCAGTGGCAGAGGCAGAGGCAGAGGCAGAGGCAGAGGCAGAGGCAGTGGCAGAGGCAGAGGCAGAGGCAGAGGCAGAGGCAGAGGCAGTGGCAGTGGCAGTGGCAGAGGCAGAGGCAGAGGCAGAGGCAGAGGCAGTGGCAGTGGCAGAGGCAGAGGCAGAGGCAGAGGCAGAGGCAGAGGCAGTGGATGGCACCAGCTACGTATTTTGAGAATTCTCAAAAAACATACAACAGCTACGGCTCACCTGTGCGGCTGGTACTGGTCGACGCTCAGCTTGCTACACCATTCTCGGGCCCTTGGAAAGAGAGTGTGTTTTGAAGAGACCAGATAAAACAGAGGTTTCAACACAAACGGCTCACCTGTGCGTCTGGTACTGGTCGACGCTCAGCTTGCTCCAGTTCTCGTTCGCATACACCATGCGCGCCCCCTTGGACAGCGAGCAAGAGAGGAGACCCACCAGCTACAAATCACCTCCGCACCGTGCAAATTACCCACCTGTGCGCCTGGTACTGATCCAGGCTCAGCTTGCTCCAGTTCTCGTTCGTATACACCATGCGCGGCCCCTTGGAGAGCGAGCGCCAGTGCGTGGTGGTCTCGAGCAGCACCGCATCCCACTCGTCCAGGTAGCGCGCCCACTGCGGGTTGGGCGTGGCCACGTCTATCAGACAGTCGGCTGGGTTCGGGTCTGTTATTCCTCCGACTTTTGCCAGCATTGTAGCGTCTGGAGAGGGAGAGAGGGTGAGGGGGTGGGAAGGGGGAAGGAGGGGAGGTGCCAAAGAAAGGGGTAATGAGCGGTCTGGTGAGAGGGGGAGTGGTGCAGGAAGGAGTGGTGGTCTCAAGCAGAAGCACCGCATCCCACTCGTCCAGGTAGCGCGCCCACTGCGGGTTGGGCGTGGCCACGTCTATCAGACAGTCGTCTGGGTTGGGGTCTGTTATTCCTCCGACCTTGGCTAGCATTGTGGCGTCTGAAAGTAAGTGTGGAGGAGGAGGCATAGGAAGAGAGGGAGAAGAGAGAAAAAAACAAGTTGAGAGGGAGGAGCGTGGCGTTGAGCTGCGGAATGGAATAATACACGTACACCACGACCTCGATAATACTGCACATGCCACCCCACTGCAACCCCTCGATAATACTCGTAAAGTGGCGTACTCTGGTTGATGCGCAGTCGTCCCAGAGCATGACGATCGTGGCGTTGAGGTCCGGGATGGAATAATACAGTACACGTACACCACGACCTCGATAATACTCGTAAAATGGCGTACTCTGGTTGATGCGCACGAGGTAGTCGTCCCAGAGCATGACGATCGTGGCGTTGAGCTGCGGGATTGAGTTCACGTAAGCCACCGCCTCGGGATGTACGATTCCCATAAGCCCAAATTTCTACACTACAACGTGAATAGATTTAACCCTTATGTGCTGTATCTAGGGTGTAGCGAGAGAACGTACTCTGGTTTATCCTGACGAGGTAGTCGTCCCAGAGCATGACGATTTTGGCGTTTAGCTGCGGGATCGAGTACACGTAAGCCACTGCCTCGGGCGAATCCTTGGACCACGCGCCGCCGTCCAACGTGCGCAGCTCGGGCTTCGGACTCACCCAGTAGTGCTGGTTTATCTGTAGAGACATTGGGGGGAATTGGGTGTAGTTATTTCGGTTATATGCATGTGGACCGAGGCAGTATTCTCGAAGCTGTTCACTTCATCCGCCGAACCAGTCATTCAACGAGCGCGGCTCGGGCATTGGGCTCACCCAGAACAGAGGAGAGGCAAAGGGGAGACAGGGAGATTCGGTTATGAATATATTGGCTTTCATGGTCAATGACGGTTCTCACCTCATTCGTCATTTGAAACCTCTATCAACGTGCACGGCTCCGGATTCGGACTCAACGGGTTGCGTCGGTTCATGCACAAAGCTGGGGAAATTAAGGTGGTATATTGGTTTTGTGGTTGAGAATCGCAAGCACGCGCACATGCTCGCAACATAGCTCTCACACAACGCATGAATGCACACGCTCACGGGCACTCACTCAATCACATGAACACGCACATGTCAAGAACACACACTCGCCTGGCAGAGCAGCTACAGTTTTTGAGTTTCAACTAAACTGCCAAATAATACTGTCAGCAGATAGACGTAGCAGACGTTGTTACACACAAACACACGTGAACACACCTGGCAGAGCAGCGACGGTACGAAGTTTGCGCTCGTGAGCGAGTCGCCAATGATCGCAATCTGCTTGTTCTTTATCAGCTGATAATACACACACACGCACACCCCCCTAACCCTCCCCCTCTCCCCCGTTCCCTTCCACACACCCACACAAGCACTCACAACCCCCCCCTCACCCTCCCACACTCGCCTGGCAGAGCAGCGACGGCACGAAGTTGGCGCTCGTGAGCGAGTCGCCGATGATCACAAACACTCACAACCCCCCCTCGTCTCCCCCCCCCCACACACTCACCTGGCAGAGCAGCGACGGCACGAAGTTGGCGTTCGCGAGCGAATCGCCGATGATCGCAAACTGCTTGTTCTTTACTAGCTGATAATACACACACACGCACAATCCCTCCACCCTACCCCCTTCTTCCCCCCGTTTTCCGTGACATGCATACGCAAACACTCTCCACCCCCCTCCTCCGCCCCCCACACACTCACCTGGCAGAGCAGCGACGGCACAAAGTTAGCGCTCGTGAGCGATGATCGCATGTTTTGAGTCCACTCAAAACATCCTCCCCCCCACCCCCCACACACACACGTGAACACACCTGGCAGAGCAGCGAAGGCACAAAGTTGGCGCTCGTGAGCGAATCGCCAATGATCGCAAACTGCTTGTTCTTTATTAGCTGTCCGAAGTGACTGTAGCGTTGTGATAGCGGGAGAGGGGGGAGAGCGGAGCATATGGAAGGGGGAGCAGGAGTGGTTGGTTGAGGGGAGGGGAGGGGAGAGGGGAGCAAATGCAAGGGGGAGTAGGGGTGGTGAGGGGAGGGGATGGGTCGGGAAAACCGGGGGTTGGGGAGAGAAGAGACCCGTGCTGAAATTCTCTGCCTACATAGATTAAGGACCATTCGTGAAGAGACGGCGGGCTTCTTGATGGGATGGGCTGGGAGGGTGTGGGGAGTGGATGCGATGTGGCGACGCTCATTGGGAAGCGTAGCCTGCACTTGTTCGTACGTACGTTCGGTTGAATCGCACAATTCTCTTGCAGCTTGTTGAATACCACGAGTAGCGTACGTACGCGCTGTCCGGCCTCCCGTTCGTACTGCAACGGGTCAAGTTGAACTGCAAACGGAAACGGAACAACCAAAGTCTCTGTCAGTTGTCACTTGTAAAGAAACGTGCGTTCACTGCCAAAAATATTGTGCCAAAAAAAAAAAAAAAAAAAAAAAAAAAAAAAAAAAAAAAAGCCCTATCAATCAGGAAACCCAAAAAAGAGGCTGTTGAAAAATGAAACCTTACCAGAAAGGGGCATGAGTCTTGATATGGCGGTCGGTTGCCGTCAACTACCCACCGGCCTTCGAAAATATTGCAAACCGGGGCTGACGCGGCCGGCAAAATAACCGGACAGAAGGCACTGGTCGTCACAAGGAGCAGAACCGCGAGCCAAACCGCGTCCCGCGGCGCCTTAAGAGACAATGGGAGCCGAACCGCATGTGGATACTGTAGCTGATCAAGAGGCGTGCGGCGGACAGAGCAGCGGACTAAATCGTGTGGCGGTGAGGTGGTTTGCGCCATGGTCAGGAGCAGCTGAGGTGGCTGCTTCACCCAGCCGAGGAGGCTGCTTCACCCAGCCGAGGTGGCTGCTGACGTGGCTGCTCTACAGAACTCAATACTCCCGAATGACTAAGCGCTCAGTGTTGGCGCGTCGTGATCGCGACGTCGACCCGGTACTGTCTCGCTCTATACGGATCGGAGCTCATAAAAACTGCTCTAGTAGACGCATCATGTCACCATAACTGGTTCGAGAAGGCTCTAAACAGTTCTAGACTTGGAACTCATGGCCAAGAACTAATCAGCTGAATGTGGTGACGCGTGCTGAAGCAGCTCGCACTACCGAGCCAATAATGCTATGCCAAGAGATATGGTAGTTGTTAACGAAAGAATGTCAAATTGCTTCGCTGATGCCGCTAAGCAGCTGAGAGATGGTGACTTGCTACAGCGGTGGGTCCGAAAATAGACATAAACGTTGCAGAGGAGATGACTAAAGTTCAGTGGATGGCCTCGTCTACGAGTACATGAAAAGGCAAGAGCAGATAGATGATCCGTACAAAAACAATTGCCGACAACAAGTGAGCGACTATCGTCAACAGTAAACGGGTTTTGAATAAAAAGGCAGGCGGATGCGCCCAGGCTGTCAAGAAAGAGAGACACGGTCGGCAACAGAGGTCCACTGATGAAGATGAAGGTCTAAGATGGGGTGGGAGTGAGGATTGCTGGGCTGGGCGTGAAACTGCTGTTCCAGGTCATGGGAGGAACTGATAGGCGCGATTTTTGTGTTGTGTCTTCCCCCCCACACCAGCCATTCCTTTCCAGACACACAACGAGAAGCAGCTCTGCGTGACGGACGGAGCTGCTCAGACCAGCTTCACATGCCAAGCTCAACTCAATTGACCACGGAAGAACCTCTTTCTTGTAGTCAGGGACGCGGGTCGCTGAGCTCTGAAATGGAAGGCAAACGTACGGCTGAGAATAACGTGCTGTGTGAAAGCAATTTCGACGGTTGGATGAGAAAGTATGGAGGAATTGAAGCTGACCGGAGTCAAGGTTTATGACAGTATTGGTTGGGGAGCACCTTGGAACGAGCCGCACTGTATCGAAATGTAGCGCCGACTGCGCATTTTAGCCCAAAATGGCGACACGAGATTGGCCTGCCCTGTGTGTTCACCTGAATCACCTCTCCAACCCACACCACCACACCGCAACGCACCGATTTTTTCAAACTGGCACAGGCGCCGCCACCAGCCATAGAACACCCAGCTCCCCAAGCATGCCCTGATTCCCTCCCAGATAACCTCCCCCAACCCAGCCAGCCACACGGGGGAGGGGGGGATTTCATCCGCAAACAAAATCAACCAGCAGGGTAACTCCCAGACCAGACGGATGGGTGGCGGAGGTTGGAGGCGGGGAGAATTTAACAGCGAGGGATGCGGCAGCGCGCCTGGCCCTAGCATGCCATTGGCGCTCTGCCCAGCACAAATACAGCCACCGACTAAATGTGGGCCTCGATTCGTCACCACCAGCGCGGGCTATCAGAGTTACGTTTTCGTGGACGCTTGCAAGCAACGACATATGCGAAATGTGTGGCTGTTACGAGTGCAATTGAGTGAGCGAGCTAGAATTGCACTATCTAAGCAAGAGTACAATGAGCGAAGGCATGAGCGAATAAAATATAGCGAAACTACAATGGTAACGGTAATGGACTGTGGTTGTCGCACGACGGGCGTGGGACTGAGGTTTGGGAAAATGTCGAAGCGGAGGCCCGGGAGCGGGTTACCCGCCGAGCCGTGAGGTCGGGGTGCGACATGCGGAAGTGGTAGGAGGGTTGTCGATGCGAGAGTTTGCGAGTGGTAACGGTGCTGACTGTGGTGCTACAGTGGTGTACGCGCCGAGCGTGGACGCGAAGTAAGGAAAATGAATTTTCCTTACACTACCCCCCCCCCTAAGGAGGTCCTCCTTGTTAAGAATATGTTTGTATGCTTTTATTATAAGTGCACTGTTCGAAGTGTGCTTACAGGGGCTCGCCACAGCGAGGGATTTGAACCTGGTGGCGAGTCAACGGGCCGCAACCGAACACAGCGGTTGCGATCCGCGTGGCAGCTCAAGAGTCGAATCGACAGCAGGAGTGATCGTCTACAATACGCGAAACTGACCTGCGGGGCGCGGCAGGATACCGCGCCCTTGCCGAAGCTGAAAAGTCTCGCCAGCGCGACTGTAACAAGGCAACCCAAGCGACGCAGCGCAACTGTTATACAGTTGCGCCTTGGTAACTGTTTGCCCTATGCGTTTGCTATATAACAGAATGTAATGCCTTGCTCATATTACACAATTCTCAAGCTTGTGTCCGGCCTACCCTCGGTCGCTGCTTTGGCACCACGTTACAAGCCAGGAGAGCTACCTCTGAGTGACCAATAGCCCCGCCGTAGGGACGTCGTTAATTCCTAGAGCTTCCGCTGCGCTCTAGCGACTTCTTATTTCCAACACTCCTTACGAAAGTGTGTGGACATCCCTGAAGTTTCGGCTGCGCAGATACTCTGTAAGGACGAGGTGGTTTCTGACTCTGTCCAGGGGAACCCAGTTGTCTTCAGTGGGTGTACGGTCTTTCCAGCGGATCAGGAACTCTATCCTTCGGGCTCCTCGAGGGTCACGAACTCTG